GGCGTTTGGAGTAAACACAGGAGTCAGACAAGGGTGCTTGCTATTATCACCAATGATATTCCTAATTGTGGTGGATTGACTGGATTATGCGTCAGACAGTGAGAAACGAGAAGGCAGGGATATTCTGGACTGACCTGAAGAACCTAGAAGACCTGGATTTCGCGCGTGGATGATTTATGTTTGATGTCACACAAAGTCGAAGACCTACAAGCGAAAACCGACAAACTGGTTGAAAAAGAAGCCGGTGAAGACAGGACTCCAAGTGAACATAGACAAGACGGAGGTTATGAAAATAACCAACCAAAGACAACAACAGCAGCACCAACATCCAGCGTCAATCACCATCAACGGGAGGGATTTGAAAGAGGTTACTTCATTCAGTCACTTATCTAGGGAGCATTGTCTCAACTACAGGAAGTCGGAACGGACGGGGCTATCAAATCGAGCTAGAATCGGGAAGGCGAGGAACATTCATCAACCAACTGAAACCAATATGGAAATCCTCGTCACTCAGCCAACATCAAAAACAAAATTCGGTCGGATTTTCAATACAAACGTCAAGTCAGTCAGTTCTTCTATGCGGATCAGAAAGTTGGCGGGCGGACGGTTCACAAAGAATATTTCCAACAGCCTGTTGCAGTCCTTCATCAACCAACAACTGTCTTAGCCGGCTCTATACTGAATATCAAATGGACGGTCCGGAAAGAATCATCTACAAGAAACTATGGGAACAAACAAAGCAAGAACCAATGGTCAGCCAACAAATATGCAGGAGACAGTGGAGATGGATTGGACACTTGCTGAGGTGGCCTCTGGGTGATATCGCGCGCGTCAGGCCATTGGTCGAGTGTAATTCTAAAGGGAAGAGGCGAGTGGGTCGTCGTTGCAAGGGTGACATGAAGGAGATGGTGTGGAGAGGAGTTGAAGGAGTATGAACCTACATGGATGCAGGTGAAAAGTACATCAAAAGACAGAAGCAAGTAGAGACGTGCAGTTGAAGCCCTATGTTCTACTAGGAACCCAAGGGAGCAATAAAAATAAATAATAATTAGTGTTCCTCGTGCTGGTAACTGAATGGCTCTATTCTTTAATTTACTTGATGACGTAATCTTTGGCTTTAACCTCAGCCCTTTGACATAGTGTAATTTTGCTTGTCTCTGTTTTCTATGACGAGCTCAAATCAGTACACTGTTACTTAATTTATTAGTGACACAGTAACTTACGCATCTATCGTCTTTATTACGCACTTCCGTTACCATTCTATGCATCCATCTATTTTGTTTAAACTTCAACTGCCTGTGTAAAAACTATGTAAGATCGATTCTCTCAGACCTGTTCACTAATACTGGAAATTCTATCAACTGAAATCATGAAACATTTGCAAGTATGTCAAACATTTTCTGTATGCAAACCTCATAATTAATTTAGAGTGTAAGCAGCTGATGAGAATCCAACGAAATAAATGATGGTATCATATTATTCTGCAAAATCCACTGTTGTTATTGCTTATAGAATGGGTGAAATGATGGGTGTGTGTGCGTGATAGCGTTTGAAATGGAAGTATGTAATCTTTATATCTGCATTCAAATCTCAAGATAAAGTCTGTCGGTCAGGTGGAAACGAACTCAGTTCTTTTTTCGTTGTTATCATTGAATAGGTCTTGTTTCTAGAATAGCTGATACTAGTCGTATGGCAAAATGCACATTGGTCTATTGTTAATTGTTGCATGAAATCTGAAAGTTATGATCAGAGATATGTCTTTCCCATCAGAATTTGCGGCATGTCTCACAGAGAGTAGGGGAAAAATAGGCGGAACACAATGGAATTTATATTTAAATATGGTGCAGTAACTGTCACATTATTCACCAACTGTATTCGTCAACAATATGTATACACTCAGGGTATAGACTAACGTGTTCTAATGACACAGAACCCGAAATCATTAGTGACACAGAGAAACGATTATGTAACAAAAAAGTTAATTTTGAAAGACTTAAACTAAAAATTTGATAATAAACTTACCTGATTTCATTTGTGTGATAACACCAAATGAACGTTGATTCCGATGTATTTTATATTGATGTATTTTTTATATTTATTCCTGCAAATGTGTGTGAGCAAAATACTGCGGACAAAATTAGTTTGATTTATCAAGAGAGAGAGTGATATGCTTGAATGTGTGGTGGTGTGACACAGACAATGTGTGCTGTTGGAATGCTATTCTCACTTTGTTCCATAGTTTGATTCGGCACTGACATCAGAATAAGATATATCTTTCTGAACATTCTACTTGATGTTAGAGTCGGAATGTTATTCTCACAGTTCAGTACTACATTAGTAACATAATACTTTGTGTATATTTAAACATTCTATTTCTTGAATTTTCATGTAAACCGAAATCATAAGCTCAGTGACTGGTTAACCAATTTAAACTGTGGATCTATAAACAGTGGTTTGATCAATAATAGTTTGCTTTTGCTTTCGTGTCTTGCCTTCTATTATCACAAATGAAGTTTGTTTGTAATGTGAACAAATGTGTTCGGTCACATTGCGAATAGTAATAACCGGGAATGTATAGCGCCTAAGACCCAGTTTAATGTTTATATTTATATTTCAATAATTTCCTGTATATCAGTATGGGCCCAAAATGATACAAAACTCTACTAAAAGTTACATGATATTCACAAACCTTGTAGGTGTAAGTAAGTGACAAAATTAGCCCCTTAGATTCCATTGCTAGTCTGTATCCACCAATATGCCTAAAATATTAATATTCGCTAACTTATGTTCCTTCAGACTGTATGAAGTTATGAAGCTTCGAAGCATTTTGAAAAATCATGTTGTAATGATCACACTTGAATGCATTCACCATAGACCAATTTTGCACAAACCAATTAAACCATGAGGCACAAATAGTTGAGGAGAAGGGCGAATGAATAGTCGTTGACCATGAGGTATGAGATTCAATAAAATAATGAAGTGGAAAACATTTCCTTTCGACAAATACCACAAGTTATGGGGTCATATTTCGCTTGTTTGCCGACATAAATATGACAAAAATCAATGTGCGAGAAGTTATATGCTAACGATCATGCTGGAAACAACTGCAAATTAGAAAATAATCCTGCTATAATCACTTCAGATATCCCTATATGAAACTCCCCGAAATGCACTCTGTTCACCAGTTCTGACCAGTCTAATGACAAATATGACTGAGTTGAAAAATAAACGTGAAAAAAGTGGTGAAACAGCATTTGAAGACTACTCATGATATAACTCTTCAATTTTCCTCAATTTTCTCTATTTTAACTGATTAAAAATGCTCATTACAATTTTCAAAAGAATGGATACTGAACAAAAAGTACTCTTTTCGATAACTTCATCACCAGGCTCTACAGTTATATATACATTATGGTGAATGAATAAATTAGTGTTATGAACAATATCGAATCAATAATATTGATAGATTACAGCTCAAGATCATCAATATAACAATAAGCTGAATGTCAGTAAAATTAGGAAAGATAATACTACAAATTCCTGAGTTTATAATCTATACCGAAGGCCAAGGCAGTGGCAGCGGCTGGATTTGCTTCTTTTAAATAAAGAGCACTGTTGTTTTAGACGAATTGCAATAGCTTCTGCTGTTTGGAGCATGCGGTGTTTTGATGATTTCGGAAATTTATTAGGCACCCGATAGATTATAGAAAAGGTTTCTTCTACGCTGGCTTTGTGACCGGTTCGCACCAGATGGCCCAATATAGAACTCTACAAATCTATTATGATAATTCACCACCACTGTCTCCCGTTTTACAATCTTTGGTAATCGATTTCAGCCTAGCACGTTTGTCACACAAATAAGACTATTTATTTTGACACCCCATAACTAATATGTTATTCTACTTTAAAAATGTATCCGCCGCATAACTAGCCCTTATTGTAAGGTCAACATATATTAGATTTTTTAATTGTAAGAACCTGAAGAGAGATTATTGAAAAGAATATTCTTTTTTTAGAGTGAATTTTAATATAGAACTGTTAATCACTGTCATTACACCTTTACTTAGTCATAGTGGGAGATGTTCTCGAGCAGGAAAAATCAAGTTCCTAGAGCAACGGCTCTCAAACTCGCTCCACAAGCGCAGCTGAATTGCTTATTCTAGGTACTTCATCTTTCAGTCGAGGTAGCACCATAGTTTGTGTAGAGAATAATACGTGTAGTTCACCAGCATTAATAAACTTCTTTGAACTGATTTTCTTAATTTCGTCGTTATTAACTCACTTGGCTTATCATTCTTGAATTGTAGTCGTATATAAAAAGGCTTCCTGTTTACAGATTGTGAGTAGTCCTTTTCCGCTTACTTTGTCATATGTTTCTTGATAAATTTTTCGGGATAGCCATATTCGATCAAAGTATCATATGCAATGCTAGTTTATTACACTTCTTGACACCTCTTGTTGCAATAATCTTTTTCGGTAGTTTTTCATCCTCTTCTCTCATCCTCTGTAAAATCTGAATTCGTCAGCTGTACCTAGGTGATATGGATAACAGAATATTCGGCAATGATGACATAAACAACCAAACCAGGTACTCTATGTCCTCTTTTCAACCTTATCCGAGAGAATTGTTATACACTGAGTGACATTTCATTTCGTATATTGGTCAGTTAGGCATACTTATGTGGTCTATGGAAAGCATGTGACATTAAATAAAGTCTCAAATTGTTTTTAATCCGTACGGATATGTCGAGAATCATTCAACTGAAAGTACCTATAGTGAGCTGTGTCTGTAGCGCCATACCTTACATGCCTTACTATTCGTAGTGTAATCAATCACATTCTCTCACATAAGGATCAAAGTTCACTCACACTTACCTTTGTATCAATAAATCAGACTAAATATTATGCTCACTCTGCTGCTCATATCGATTAGCAGGACAACGAATACAAATTTATTATAAATACATAGAAATCAACGCTCACCTCATAACACGACACAAATGGAATCAGGTAAATTCATCAGTGGATTACTATAACCAGCTTTCTGTGTTTCTCATGGTTTCGAGTTTTCTGTCAAGTGAACACGTTTTGTTACATCGTCGGGGTTTCACGTTTATTGTTCACTTATTACAACACATTTTTGACTAAAACAACGGAGAAAGTATTGAATTCATCTTCATCTAACCAGTAAACTTCATCTTCAGATTTAACAGTAGAATTTATGGTTATGAGTCACCAATTCACACACACATAGTCTTAAATATTCTAAATGTCAACCATCCCATAATTTATGCATTTTAACAGAATTATCAGAGAAGATGACGAATGTGAATACTGCAGGTGGATCAAGAATAATAAACCGTGAGTTTGAAACATCAGACAAATACCCGAAAAGAGTGGGTCTCTTTTACACTGAGTAATATTATTGCTGATTATAGGTGATAGTGTTTCTTGTTGTGACGTGTTTTATCACACTGGGGATAACAGTCGGTCTCGTGTTCATGTATGTCAATATATACCACTTATTGATCAATAATTTATTATATTTCAGGTCTAGAATAGACTATCCAATACTGACTGCTATTTTATATGTCGTATTGTGCGTTCTCTGTGCAAATAACAAAACTGAGTTTATCAAATTATATTAAATTATATTTATACATATTCATAAATATATGTAAAATATTTTGTGCACTGCGTATATTTGTTTAAACATTTTATACTTATTTATCACAGTCATTCTCAGGTTCGCACCTGATTCAAAATAGATGAGTCGTAAGATATGAATTGAATTTTTGATTTTCCCGTCGATTGATTGGACCGAAGTGCTCGGTCTCAGGTTGACATGTCGGCTTCTTGTGCAGATGCTTCGACGATGTCTGGGTATTTAATTAGTATACGATTGGTGGATGGTGGCTAGCAGTGGAATCCAGGATGCGCAAGTGGTCTAGTGGATAACGCTTTGGCGTTTGAAACTATGGGTACTGGGTTCGAGCCTCGGTGGGAACATCATCACTCACTGAGAAATGCAGGTACATCCAGATGACGAGTCCCAAATAGGACGAAATGCGCATCCTGGATTCCACTGCTAGCCACCATCCACCGAGTCGTAAGATTTGTTCAGTTATCACGTCTGAGGGTGGAATATTATGTTACGTTGACAGAGAAGATAGGATTATTATATGCCGACGTTTTCTCGACAGAATATGCATGCATTCAAAACACACATCACCAATTTCCCTATTCCACTTTTAGAGACTTCATCAAAGTCGAGAGTATCAAATCTCCCAACATCTTACTTGGTTGGAACCACCAACTTATGTGTGCCTCAGTGCAGTATGTAGTGGTGTGGTGTATAAGTCTCTTTTTTAGAAGTAGTCTGACAGAAAAGGATGTTAACTGTGATGTGTGGTGAAAACGCAGGTCGAGTCTTCTTCTTCCAGAGTATAAGTAGCATCACATGTTTTCACCTGTGTGATCTACTTTGTAAAGAAGTGAAGGATTCCCGTTAGCCTCAATTGTAATTTCAAAGGTGTCAACCATTACATTTTCATCTTTCAGAGATTTCGGTGCCACTCGAACAGTCAAGATCTAGTTCACAGGAAATTCTCCTTCAATAAATAGAGTGATCTCTGTAGAAGCAAATGCCCGCAATTTCAAGTATCTTATTTGTTTGTCAAAATAACTTAGTCAGACTAAAATGTAATTTCCTTTGAAACGAGAACGATTCCCATACTTGTGAAGTATGGTATAGTGGAATCAAGTAGCAGTCATTCATACACTTTGTCTGGGTGCAATCTCATTTAATTTACGGGTTTTCAGTCAAAGTTCGCATCATTCAAAGATGTATAATTTATACGATTGGTGATTTTGTTATCATTGATTTCGTTTACACTTCAGTGCGATTATTGACGTCACGGTTATTGCTCTGCTGATTATATACGACAGAATAAGGAAACGATTCCCTTTGAATTTCGTCTTGGCGCTCTTATATGTAAGAGTTCTATGTATTTATCATTCATGCATATATTTATGTATAAATGTCGTCAGTTTATCATAATTTGGAACACTGAATCATTCTTCTTGATTGAGAATTTATAACATTTGTGTTTCTCTGTGTCGCTAATTGAAGAATAAAGCAACGCAAAATGTCTTTAGTTTCCCAATCGTAGTGCGGCTTGATTGTGCAATGAACTTAAGAGAAATTGTAGAGCTACCACTATCGATGAGCCTGATACTAGGTAGTGATGAATTAATAACTGTGACACTTAATTGGGGAAGGATTCTGCAGCAGTGTGAATAAATTTAAGCCTGATGATGTAATGTTCATCATTTGGAAAAATAAATGGCGAAAGGAGATGCTGGGTGTTCAATTTTCAATATATTTCTGGAGAATAACCATTTAATATATATCTAATGGACTGATAGTTGTTTTCAATAAGGTTGCTTAGATAAGCCTACATCATATTATTCTGACTCCGTACTAGTGTGTAGAGAATGGTTCAGCTCCGAATCTGAATAATGAAATGTGTGGAAAATGCCCTTCAACGCAAAAAATTGAAGTAAAACTCCTTAGAATACGAGTCATCATTTACAAGCATTTTTATTGAATTACCCCTGACAGATTCACCCACACCATAAAATTGTTCATGAGACTATCGGAATATGTATTGTAAAACAACTTCCATGTTTGATTTTCTATTTTGTAGTCTGCTTGCCTGACAGTCGTAGCAGAGCCGTCGTTCATCGGGAGAAATATAATATGGGTACTGGTTGTAATGGCAATTGGTGTGGTGCTCTACATCATATGCATATCGATAGGTGCAACGCTGAGAAGTGAACTTAAATTGGGTTCCTTAGGAATGTTGATAGGCTACGTTGTCTTCTCAGTCATAATCACCGCTGCTACACTTGCAGTCTACTTTTCGACGGTAAATGAATTGTGGAAATAAATATTTTTATTTTATTATAAATTAAACTATTTGCGTTTCAAATGTCGGAAAACTCATAATCATACCTATTCAGTCACTAGTTCGATTGAATTGTTTAAATGAATATAAGAGATTCAGAGTGACCTATGAACCATTATCCGTTGTTGCAAACACTGAACTTTACAAGAAAATGCATATGTATAGTATTTCAACTGCACGTAATTTTGTATTATTTAAATTTATGTATCACTTTTCTTGTAGAAGAACTGAATGGTCATTGTCTATTCTTGCTGCGGGTATGACTATTTTATTGATTCCTGTAAGTCCTCATTTCTTATATTTATGTATGAAAATTGCTTAAACTTGTTTAATCACTGGCTTCACACACACGTAATCACTTAGTGTCTCATTTAGAGATGGATTTTTACAGTCATCGCCTACAAGGAATTCTATTCCACAGTCAATGATATATGTGCGATGAACTCATTTAGACTTTACACTCCAGCTAATGATGTATTGTTAAGCTGTTTGTTTCCTTGTGGAACATTGAGAATCAGCAACATACCTCCATGTCTTCATGCTCTGTGAAGTACTTTCTAGCTCCATTGTGAATAAAAAGCATTGCATGCATTAACAGAGAACGACACAATATGATAAAGGGAGAGTACGGTTGAAATTTTAATAAGTTATATAAGTAGTTGTAGAGAGAGATTGATTGCCGAATCCTGGTTCTTCGAGTCTGCATCTAACACGTGTGATTCGATGCAATGACCCACCACTCATAACAGAAATACAGAAATTATTACTGTCAATCAAATCAAGAGATGAGAAATAGCGGAAAAAATGGAAAGGTTGTGTGAGTGAATTGATATGATTGTACGCAGTAATAAATTGTGCTCGGAATGTTGTCATCAGTAAATTTTACTGTATAACACTGTGTGACTTTATCAAAATAAAAATGACCCATAGTGGAATTATACTCTACACTCTATAGTGCACAAGTTATATTCTTATAATTTCTAGCTGGTTTTACAATTGCCAAGGGCTATAATGCCTTACTTACATGATTTTGTTAATGTCACCATCGGACCAGTGACCAACGCGTTGCTTCCCACTCGGTTTCCACTCAATGGACAGCCTGAAAGTTGGTGTGACTCACTGGTATCAGAAACACAGGATATGTCCAATTCATCTGATTTTCCTGCTGCGTATTTTTTATGAGACCGCCTATCAGATGGTTTTGTTGCTCACCAGAGTTCCTCACTACTTATTCTGCATGATAAGTATTGTTCATTAGAGAACTAGTTAAAGAAGCTAACGACAAAACTTTGCATATTATCGGAAATACTTTCGATGAGACAACAGTTCTTTGAACCGTGGGAAATGGCCAATTTTCAATGATTGTTGAAGACCCAGAATTTGTTACGTATGTTCGCTCGTATGTGGTGCCTTCCAGCGACCACGGAAAATAAATAAATAAATAAATGTAATTACACTGCATATGTCAAAACGTTTTAAAAGGCTTATATTTTCTATTATCATTCGTCTCTATCAGATCGCTTTATATATGGGTCAGATAACACTTGGCCTTCATGAATTCAGAGTTTTTGCTTCAGATTACTGTATGGCTTCGATGGTTGCTCATGTGACTTTAATCCTTTTTCTGGTTACACTCAGTATTGGACTTATGTGTCCAGAGGGAAAGAAAACTCAAACGAAGCTTGGCTTTCTTTACCCAGTCGCATGCTTTTCACAGTAGAAGCAATACAGTATGAATATATGCACTTTAGAATAGTATCCAAACGCTTTATATACTACCGTGTTCACAATTTGCAACTGAGATGAATAAACAGATTTTTGTCAATGAAAACAAATACTTCTGAAATAATACTGTTATTTTCAAGGCTATCACTGTTGGATACCATGAAAACGATTGGTCTGAGCAACACTGTTAATTTCCACGACATTTCGTATTTTCTCTTTGATGAATGTCAACCACGCAAGATTGATCTGATCGATGTTTGAGAATGTATAGCTGTAAGGGTCTAAAACGAGGAGAGAGAATTTCTAACGATGATGTGTTTAGTAGTACACCGACGTGAATTTTTTTATGGGTACTAAGTAGGTTTCGAAAATATGCGATGATAGTATGACGGTGAAATTGTTACTAAAGTTGAGCATAAAATTACCCCAAGAATCCCTGGCTGATATTTCGGATCTGCAGATTAGTGAGCACGATGAGTCTGTAGTCATTAGTGCACAAATTACCCTTGTAAATAAATTCTAAAATCTTCAGTGATCACACGCACAGGCCCACAATTGGAAGTGGTAAACTTTGCAGAAACTATCTGAAGGATTCTAGTGTTTAACTGGTTTAATCGCTCGTCTTCTCTGATTTCTTAGAAAGCCGATATGTTCCACATACTTTGAGATTTTAGCAGTATGAATATAATGTGAATATAACCCCCGCATATATGAATTTCGACCGATTCAATCTTTAGGAACCAATGTTCACTGGAATGGGTTACGTCGGAATGCAGTTGAACAGATCGTAGTACATCTCGGATTCCCGCCGAGTTAGGCGGAGCAACTGCATACAATGGTGAACAATTCTGGTTTCATTTTGACTTATCTCACATTAAACTCTGATATGAGCAGGTTCAAAGCAGAGTTATTCTTGTTGATTTGCAAATCAATGAAAGCTGTTGAAGCGGTTTAGATTATAGAAAAACTGCAGTGATAGTCATATTCACGATGATGAAACTACAGGTTTTTTTCTCCTTTACGTTCCCCAGTGGAACGTAGGGCTTCAAGCTAGTGGCTTGAAGTTTCTGTAGCAGTGTTTATTTTACGCGATGGGGTTGCTAGCCTCATGCTCAACCTTTTCTCTTTACCAGCAGTATTTCTGGCTTAGTGAGGTAAAGGAATGCGTCGGTGGCCGGGAATCGAACCTTGAACCATGTGTATGGTTGACGAGCGTCCTAACCGCTATGCCACCGACGCGCTGAAATTACAGGTAGTTAACACACATGGCCCTCGAGAATAATAGACCTGGTGTATCACAATGTGATAATTTCACTAATTGCATGAAGCATTCTAAGTTAAGTGTCTCTAACAGGCTGAGCAGTAACACCAATTAGTATATCAGGATACCTAAATGATGAAGTGATGAAACATTGAAGTTTAATATGTATACCATAGAATTCCTCAATAAGATTTGACATTTTCACAACAAATGAGAAAATTAGTGGAGCTAGTAGGCATAGATAAAGAGAGAGAATTTAAGGCGTCTGCACACCTACCATGCCAGTAGGTAAGATTCTTAATAGGGTGGAATTCAGGTGGTATTTAAATCGAGAATCTCACTGAGGGACACGATGTGTAGATTAAAGGACTGAATTAACCCAACTAGACAAGGTAATGAAATTTACAACATGCCTTACAATGACAGTGAGTGAGATCAAACATATTCGTTAAGCCGGTAGATGGGGAGAAGTCATATTATTCGAAAAAAAGTATTCAGCGATGTGTAAAATGACTGACGCCACGAAATGAGTAACTCTGAAAAAGACTAAGCAGTCGCAATGAATCTATGAAGGCAGAGGCATAGATTAGAATGTGATAGAGTAGCGAATCCGACAGTGAGATAGAAAGTTAGCTAGGTAGGTTGATTGCTGAATCTTTGTTCATCAAAACTGCACCTAATATACTCGATTGAAATGACTCAGCACCAACTTTTACCAGAAACATGAAAAATATTACTGCCAATCAAATCAAAGGATAAGAAATAAACTTTCAATTCGGATAGTGTTATTCGAAGAAGACGTCGATTATCTGAAAGGTGTGCTGCACTTGTACAAGCCAATTCAAACAGCCTGATCACACATTTACTTGTCGAGTCAGTTTATATGAAAATTCAAAGCCAGTTAAAATAGAAAACGTGGCAGAAGGGATTTGAGAATAAGAATAATTTTCCATAGTTTGGTTTGTAAGGGTTAGTTATGCTTTTACGAGTTGATCACGGATTGATGTCAGTTAGAGAAAGAACCATTGGAAACCAGGGAGTACTGGACAGCTGCTGTTTCATCCCAGTTCGAGAATCATCGGCAGTACGCAGCCACTGGGATTCGAACACAGGACCTTCCGGTTACAAGACAAGCTCGTATGCCATTCAGCCACTGGGACCGATTCAATGGCTCCTGAATCCTAACTCCTACCAATTCGTGATTTACCGCGACATCAACCATTGTCGTTGGTGGGAAATCCATCCACACACGTGACATCTAATTGGACCTCACTGGTCACGACTTCTCACTAGAACTCTGGAAAATCCATCGACTATGGTTGGGGTCGCGCTAAATCACGAATTGGTAGAAGTTAGAATTCATGAGCCATTGAATCGGGTCCCAGTGGCTGTGTACTGCCGATGATTCCCGAACTGGGATGAAACAGCAGCTGTCCAGTACTCCCTGGTTTTCAATGGTTCTTCTAACTGATATCAATCCGTGATCAACTCGTAAAAATAAGTATAATACGAATACTTAACACTGCTTTAGGCTGTATGATCAGTTAAGGATTATCAAGGTAGATTAATAGTGACAATAAATTGTTTCTGTCGGAGCAGTGAGGTTGGTGATTATTTTTAACGATAATTATCGTCTTAGCATATTTCGATGACCACCCTTGACAGATTTTTAAAATGACCTTAGGAGCAGTTTAAACACCAGTCTTGTGGTTCATACAGAATAGATGTATAGCTGTAAACGAATTTACTAGTCTTCCGCCTGAGTCTATTACTTTAATTTTCTAACCATTTCACAGTATGTTCTTCCAGCCTGACATGGTACGTGTGATTATTGCTCCCTATATATGTGTGTCCACTCACCCATAAATTAGTTTCTGCTGTGCCCTTGTAAATTTCTGTGGTTTTTCGTAGAGTATCCTTTTGGCTTTTGCAATAATTATCAGCCTGTCTGCAAAATAGGTTGTATGGATGACGAAATTTAGTATTTGTCTCAACAGCCTTCCCTTTGCTTGCTCATTGTATAGTAATTTATGAAAACATCTTTCTTAGAGGTTAAATGTATTGTGTGTTTTCCATTGGTTGACGTCAAAACCTGTTTAAAGATCAAACATATTTTTCAAACCAATAGATGGGGAGAAGATATATTATTATGGAAAAATAAGGATCTAGCGATTTGTAGAAAGACTGACGCCACGAAGATGAGTAACTCTGAAAACGACTAAGCAATCGCAATGAATCCATTAGGACAGAGGCGTAGATTAGTATATGACAGAGTTAAGAATCCGATGGTGAAAAAGGTATTTAGTGAAGGAGATTGATTGCTGAGGAGATTAACAGGTTAAGACAAAGGTAGAATAATAAAATGGGCAATCTTTTGAGTGCTAATGAATTGCAACTCATATTTTCCACTCACCCGCTTGTGATTACGAAAATGAAAGACAATGTGCCGATGCTAGCCACCTCTTCCTGCGTCTATCATTTCAACTGCTCCGCTGAAGTCAGTTACCTTGGTTATTATTTTTTGAACTTGATTTCCGTGCTGGTCGACGCCTACCGGTTTGATTAAATCACAGTGTAGTAAAATACACTAAAGGTTTGATATTATAAAACCTAGTTCAAACACACCATAGGACGAGTACTAAAAAATCCTTTTCCACTGCTTAGCATAAACCAATTAAACAGCTTCAGCCCACTAGTTACTCAACACTTCAAATAGCAGGAGTCACAGTGATTCTCTTTAAACAGCCAAGATTTTTCGTAGAAACGTATCCTGGCCTGCTGTACACCTGTACATTTTTATATTTACCGTATCATCTCTTGTTTCAAGATGTCACCTTCATTCCTATGGGCATAAATTCTCCCTATCTCTTACACATATGTCCGATTGTATTTGGAATTGATAACTATATTTTGATATAATGATGAAAACACTTTTATATTACGCATGCAGTGACGAAACATGAAGACAGCATGTCGTCATATTTTGACTGGCAGTGACTATCAGTAGAATCCAGGATGCTCATTTCATCGGGTTTTAACTTGCCATCTGGATGTACCTGCATCTACACTCAATGATGTTGTTTCCACTGATACAGGAACCATGTATGCCACCTCTAGTCATCAACAACGAAAGGAATCATTTGAGCCCTTAGACATCGCCTCAGTCGCCATACCAGGCGCAGACATGTACACAGAGACCAACCATTTCGGTCAATAATGATCAGACAACAGGAAATCCAAATTAGACTGCTAACCAAAATTTGTGAAAACGTGAATATTTTCCAGAAATCATCATCAGTTGTATTTCCATTTATTCTGTAAATCGCCACCCGGTGAATCTTTTATCAAAGCTGCTGCACTTGTAACCAAATCAATGCGTTAGTGAGCCAATGTAAACAAATACGACTTTAATAGCGAAGGTCAGCTAGTGGTAAACTATGAAACGAATAATAATAACAATGATATTTATGAGAACCATGCAGTATTATTGTAAGCACTATGTCTAATTAACGAAAACCTGTATGACCATTGTACTAATGTGTAGGATGTTATTTACGAAATCAGAACACCAAGATTTGCTGATGTGATTAGTCTGTCTTTCTACTACACATACACGTCAACAAAAGTACCTACACGACAACATGAGAACAGTAACCGGCTGTGACGAAAGGATAGAAAAGCCTCTAGGCTAACTAACTAGTGCACAATATTCATGATGAATACATTTGTGACGCACATTCAAAATCTGCATGTTAGCCACTCAGCGATTTCTAGTCGTTGATGCCACACATCTTTCACTGTATAATCTCCTGAACA